CCTCGGGGCTGAAGTTGGAGGGGGCGCTGGGGCTGCCCCCGCGGGGCCGGGGGTGTGTGTGCCCCCGAGGCCGGCGCCCCCCGCAGCCTGCGGGCCGCAAGGGCAGGCCGTGCTACGCGTGTAGGTGTCCCAGCGAGCTCCCCGTGCCCAGGCCTTCTCCTGAGGGGGATCCGGCCGAGCCAGCCCGCCCTGTGTCCCCAAGCCGGGCAGCGGGCGCTGGCAGGGAAGCCCCGCGGCTTGGAATAACCAGGCCTCAGGCCGAAAGGGACGGTCGCCCGTTCTTCCCCCCCCTCTGATCCCTAAGATTAATCTTCCTCTCATTTCCAGGGACTATAAAACGCGCTGTGTGCCTCAGGCTGTTTTCGGGCAGGTCAGAACCTCGGCCAGGCTGTCCTCTCTCCGTGGTGACCACCAGTGCCACAGGACACAGCGAGATTGCCTGGTCTCAGCGGGCGCGTTGTCTCAAGCCAATGTTCAAAGTTCACCTTTATGCCAAAGATTTTCAACACTCAAAGCATAACAGTAGCTTTACAAGAATCCCGCTTGTTAACAGTGGTGGTATTGTTTTGCAGAGAACTCGAACTTGTTTGTTTTTCTGCAGGGAAGCGTGTCGGTTCCTGCCTGCCGATTTGGCTGTTAATATGAAAGACACGTTGCCCTTTTATCGTATTCTGTTTTACAGAGGTTGAAACATCTGGCTGTATCTTTGGGTCGTTACCTTAAACGGATACATGGGTGTTTAAGATATCCAACACAAGTAGTGAACTCTTACAGAGACATTTTACAAAATTTAAAGCGTTACATTTCCCAGCAGGCTTTCTGCAAAGCTGGGTTTAAACATTCTCCCGCATATCTTAGTGTGGGCCCATCCTGGGCTGTGTTGCAGAGAGCGCAGCTGGCAGAAGTGCTTCTTTCTCTCTGGTTCGCACTTGTAAGACTACGTCTGAAGTATCGTGTCTAGTTCAGGGCTCACCAGTACAAGGAAGACATTGACATACTGGCATGGTTCCAGTGGAGGCCACCAGACTGGTGAAGGGGCTGGAGCACACGACGTAGGAGGAGAGGCTGACAGAGCAGGACCGGTTTGGCCTCACGAAGAGAAGGCTGAGGGGAGATTTATTGCAGTCTATGACTGTGTGGTTGGAGGACACAGAGAAGGTGGAGCTAGATTCATCTTGGAGGTGAATAGTGGTAATGCAGGATGGAACAGGCACAAGTGGGAACATGGAAAATTCCAGTTATTTATTAGGGAAAAAGATTTTTACGGTGAGAGTTGTTAAATACTGGAAGCAATTACCCAGAGAGGCTATAAGCTCTTCAGCCTTGGAAATGTCCAGGAACCGACTGGACATGTCCCCAAGTAACCTGATCTAATTAGATCTTTTGAGCAGGGGCTGGATTAGACGACCTCTGGAGGTCACTGCCAGCCTAAATTACTCTATGATTCTATATGATGGTTTTGTTCCTGATTTCCATCGTCGGGTTTTGGTTGGACTCGCCAAGACTCATGGCTTTTTTGCAAAAGTTTGTTCCAAATCGTTTAGATCTGAAGTCTGTCTTTTAACAGACTAGCTCATGTAGTGATTCTTGTTACCTGGAAAATACAGCTTTTGGCACAGGAGAGAATAAGATGCTGATATGCTTTGAGTTTGGGTGTCATTTAAGGATGCAGACTCTTCCTCCCTGCTGCATAGGAGTGTCGTTAACAGCCCTTTCTTTCCATTGTTGGAGGCTGTGCTCATGTGTTTTTGGATGATACCTAAGTTATTTGCTGGTACTCCAGTGTTAAATTTACTCTGCCTTACCTCCAGGGAGCTTTGTACTCAGACTGTACAGAGCGAAAGAAAGGGATAATTTCACGTGCTTGTTTGGGTTGAAAATAATGACTCCTATGTTTTGTCTTCAATCAGGAAGTAAGAGTGGAGATCAGAAGTCAAATGTTGGGAATACTCATCAGCGTCCTTGGCAGACAGACTTGCATTCATGTCTCTTTTCCTACCTTGTTCAATATCTTTATAAACCTGATTTAATGACAGATGGTAAAAAATTCAGAAAGGTCTTTGGGAAAGGTCTAGCAATGCCCATTCAGGACAGAGAAAAGAAGCATTTAGTTAGTGTTCAAGTTTTGAGTGATTATCAAGGCATTGAGGCCTTGTCACAATGTGCTCAGAAAAAGCATTTTGTCTGTAGTCCTGAAGTCACAATGTACAGTGCTGTGCAGAAAGTTCAAAGGATAAGGCATAATGAATGTGTCGCTGAACAGAACCAGTTTGGTTACTGGGTGGGAGAAGTGTATGCATTTTGTGTTCTGCAAATCCATTCAATTAGAATAGGAGGAGGACACAGGAGTTTTTAATGGAAATAACCTTTGAGTGGTCTGGTAAAAACTGTCTTTGGAATCAATAAGACATGACCTGTTGAAAATATTCGGACATTTATAGAAAATTTTAAAGTGGAAGTTTGAATTTAAGAGTTGTTATTTGGGGCTTTTCTAAACTCCCTATGGAAATGTGTTGTCAAAGACATGTCACTTGAAATATGATGCAAAATTTCTGTGGCACTAAAAAGAAGAGATAAAAAACTCCCAAGTCAAAGATGCTGATCACCAAAAATGCACAGCAGTGCATTTATTTAGCCTTGTCAGATAGATGGGAACCTTCCTCTTGCAGAGACCTTAAAAGTTCCTTTCCTTTTCTTTTTGTTTCATTTTCCCCTTTTTTTTCTTAAGTTCTTTAACAAGACTTACGAAGCTGTAAACCCCAACTCTTGCATACTTCTAAAAGAATACTTTTAAAATACAGCTGATGAGTTAGGTTTCATGTTCATTTGCAACCTACTTTGGAGGCTGTGTACTTCTGTGGTAGCTTTTACACAGCTGAACTTCACGCTTCCTGAAATGTAGAATTTCCAGTATAATTTCTTTCTTTCATAGTAAGCGATGGATTGGAGCTGAGGCCAAAATACAATGGGATTCTCCACTGTATGACCACTGTCTGGAAGCATGAAGGACTACGAGGCTTATATCAAGGGGTAACTCCAAACATGTTGGGAGCAGGAGCTTCCTGGGGACTTTACTTTTTCTTGTAAGTAGGACTGTAAAATGTGTCATATCCTGTGCAATGTAATGTTCAGATATACGCTGCATCTTCTTTGAGGGTTATAAAAATGTGCTAAGTGGTTTATAAACTTGTGATTCTTTTGGTGAGTCCAGGTCTGTTAACCTTTATTATGGTTTGCTGCTTTAGAATTTAAGCAGTTTGAGTCAGAGACTTGTTACTTTGTCAAGTACAGTGCATTCCCTTGATGCTGTGAAACTACTAAGGAGTTTGAGAGATGGTGACATCATTCATGAAGGATCCTGTAAAAGTGCTTAGACCCTCAGGAAAAATAAAAACCTAAACTGATGTGTTAAGAATTGGAGAACATGATAAAGTTTTCTACTAAAGCTAAATGTTTAACTGATTTTTAATAATTTTAGTGACACACAGGTCTTTCATTGTTTTTGTGAGTTGATGGGCTTTGCTTATAAAGCCTGTTTCTTAATACTCAAGCTTTTCTGCTTTATTAGCTGTATAGCCTACCTGAGGTACTGCTGATCACTATTAATTGAAACACTTTAGGGAAAATTTAGTTGCTATGCCTATGAAAACCTCGCTTGTCAGTTTTCTAGATTCTGTTACTGTTGTACTTCAGTCCTCAAGCTTTGCTATAGGTTCCTATTGACGGTTCAGCTCCTGTTGACAGTTTCTCAATCCATAAAGACTGGAACCTCGATCAAGAAAAAAAAGCTCAGTCTATTTCTGAGCTAGAAGATAAATACCTGTCACTGTTGCTCTCAATAAAAAGGCTATCTAATTGGTTTCTTTTAGAAGTTTCTTTAGAAGCTGTTTCAAGATGCAGTCCTGTTGATACTGACAGTAATACTTTATCAATTTAAATATGTATTACCAGAGTTCTCTTGTAAGAGCTAACTGCTCAGAGATCAATCAATCAACTAAACAAAGATCGTTTGCTTAGATATCTGTTTCCAAAGGGTGTGTGCCAGCTAATGGTTTCCATGCTCTTAAGTGAGGTGTTTTGTTGTTTTGGGTTTTTTTAAGTGATGTAGGTTTGTTTTCACCTTTACCAAAATATATTTTACACTTTCCAGTTACAATGCCATCAAAGCTTACAAGAAGGAGGGAAAGCTGGAAAGTCTCAGTGCAACCGAACACCTAGTGTCAGCTGCAGAAGCTGGTGAGTTTAAATGCAAAGATTAATGTTTGCTTCTAGCCTTTCCATATGTTGCTCCCTGCCTTTGCGTGTCAGTGCTGCTTTTTCTTACAGGTGGCAAGTGTAACTGTTAGGGTTGAAATGCAATTGTTTATTGTCTGTAAATTAATTAATGATGTCTAAGATGAATAGATGGATCACTGTGGTCTTTTCAGCTTTGCTCAAAAATAGCAGTTGTGAATATACCTTTTGACCGTGTTTCCATTGTGTATAAGCGTTTTCCATGGTTAGTACTATATCGAGTCCCAAACTATAGCTATATAAATCTGCTGCTGTCAGCTTGTCAACTCGTTAAATGTTTAACACTTAGACCTGGAAAAGAGAAAACCTATTGAAGGTAATTGAGTAAGTGAATTGGTCATTGGTCTTTGAAAATCTTTATCTATGGTCCAAGTTTTCTTAGAAACTAAAGAGCTGAAATAAAAATACAACTTCTGTCAGCAAGACTTTAAATATGTTGTTTCTAACATATGTTCTTGTACATGCTTCTGTGTTCTATTTAAGCTAGGAAATTGAGAAGACTTTTTATTAGAATGTTGGAACATTCATTTAATGTTGAAATATGAGGGATATTGTTTGATGTGAAAAATAGTAATGGGTTATTTTACAACTGTATTTTCAATAACCTGTAAAGCTGTAACAGGTTGCTTCTATTAATCTGTCAATATGATGAAGAAAATTTCTCATGACTGAGGTGTCCATTAAATTTTGAACAGTTGTATACCTAAAGGATAACTTGGATAATCAGGAGTACATTAAGAAATCACACTGCTGACTGTGGAAAGGTGAGGCAAAAAATGGGATGTACTAGGAATATGCAAAAAACCATATGCTCTGCAGAAGTATCCCTGCAGGAGTAAGTTGGACTTAGTTGTGAGCTTTGAAGGCAGAGAGAGGGAACAATGGTGGGCATAAACTTTACTTTTTTTAAGTAATATGAGTACTCTTGTAGGATAAGTAGTTTTGTCATTGTGGAAGCCTGTGTTACACTGGAATGAACAAACTAGGACAAGCTTTGGAGTTGGCATAACAATCGGTCTAACTTCCATCTGTTCTCAGGAGCCATGACTCTCTGTATTACAAACCCAATATGGGTAACGAAGACACGACTTGTGCTACAATATAATGCTGGTGTTGATCCATCAAAGCGGCAATACAGAGGAATGTTTGATGCTCTTCTAAAAATATACAAGACGGAGGGTGTACGTGGCTTATATAAGGTAATAAAATTTCAGAAAAATTCCAGGATTGGCTGACACCACTCTACCATGGTGAGACTTGTAAATACTCATCTGCAAAAAAGTCGTATTTTCTATTAGCTCACTTACTTTTGTTCTGAGAGTCTTCTTTCCCACTGAAGCACTGCAGTGAAAAGGCTTAATCAGAAGAAAAGCTATTATACTGTTGAAAGGTAGGAAATCACTGAAGAATAGAGTGTAAGCTTTATGGCTAAGACATCTTCTATTAGGTGATAATGCTGAAATGAGAATAAACTACAAGCTGCTTTTTAATTTTTTGGAGTCTTCCTATAATTAGAATTTGGATAAGGAGGGCAGCGATAGCGTAATCTATCTTGCTGCTAGTGCTTCCTTCCACTTCATCCTTATCTCTGCCTTTCTGACATCTTGTGGAACATAACATATGACTAAAGTGGTTGCTAATTTTTTCTTCCACAATGGATGGTTTCACAACTGCTCATTTGCCCTCTAGTTATTGAGGTCTGTAATCTGTCATCTCTAGATCCATAAAATTTGCAGACTTCTAAATATGGTCTGCATATGTGGGGGGGTTCTATTTCCTTTAATTTAGGGAAACAGATGGCAACTGGATTTGGACTTTTTGCCTCCTCCTTGCTTCAGGCCATGACATCGAGATGCATTCATCAGTGCCTGGAAGGTGTGAAGAAACCTATTTTAGTTCAGTCTGGCTCGTCTGCAAGCAATGCTGTAGAACAAGAACACTATCTCTTAGGAATTGTCCTGATTACTGAACATTAACTTCTTTTATTTACAATCAAAAATATAATCCTTCCTGTGCTGAAAGACTAGTATGCTACGTACCAATGAATGCCGAACTCTGACACTAGGAACAAGGCACCTTACTTATTCCTAAATTGAAATTGTCAGGATTTCTGATTTGCCTGCCTGGATGTCTGCTCTGTTCCATGTAGATGAGTTCTATTTTCTTGCATCTGTTAGGGTTTAAAAAGTCCTTCCATTGAGTTACTTTTCATATTATTCCTGCATGCAGCATGTGTTGCCTTTGGCACTAGACACTATTTTGAAGTGTTAATCTGCAAGTGAGGAACTATAAAGCAGGTGCTTCCTTTGAAAGAGCAAATTACATGCTTAAATCTGCAAAAAAAGTGACCTAGATAGGTCCTGAGTGACCTATATAACTATGCACACTGAGCAACTTTCATTTGACGTCAAGATTCTCCCAACCTTGTCTATACTTGGGAAAAAGGCATCTCTTCAGGTGGCTCTTGGACTTGTCCATACTTTAGCCTTCCTCCATTTTCTGTTTTTGGGGGAGTTTTCATTTTTTCTCATTCTTGCTTTATTTGAAATTTGACAGCTGAAGTTTTTTTAATTACCCTGAGTTGCAGGAGCTGTAGTGCACATGAAAGTCTTTGCTTTCCTTATAATCTTAACTTCAGATAGAGTTCCTTATAGCAAATAAGGGGATCTCAGAGAATACCACCACAGGTTGGAAATAAAATCTGGAAGTAGTTTCTTTCTGTTTAATTTGAGATCAGTCTTCTGAAGAATGGTATTTCTGTCCAAGCAATTCCATATCTTGCTCTCTATTGCACAAGAGGCTGTTACTGGTCTGAGCAATTCCTTTAAGTCCTTTGGAGCACAAGGCTAGTAATGTCAGGATGCTTCAATCTTTCCAGCAGGGAGAAAAACTGTCTTTATTAGCTCTGTTAGGTATTGTTCATTCATTAAACTATATTTCATCTGAAGCTGGGTTCCTCAATAACCTGTTCTTCTTGAACTTGGCCTGGTTTTGAAAAGGCAGGAGCCTTTCCTTCACGGATTGTCCCAGTAATCATCTAGTCAATGATCATCCTCACCCTCCATAATTTGTCCTTTGGCCTCTGTCCCCTGGGTGACTGGGGACAGAGCTGCTCTGCTGCACACCAGACTGAGGAAAAAAAACAGCTTGGGGTTATGTAATTTGAACACGCTTACAGATCTGTTGGAGATCTGAGCTCTAAAAATTAACTTTGCCATGAAGTTGAATGTCGTGCAACCATCTCCATGTTAAGAGTGCTGTAGAGTTCTTTTCAAGCATAAGGCAGGAGAGACCAAACATTGTAAAATAATCGTAAGATTGTAGGAGTTGGCACTTTCAGAAAAACATAAAATATCTCTGAGCTCCTCGGAAACTGTTAAATGTCTAGCCTGGAATCACTGACTACTAAAACATCAGTCAAGAATGCAAGTAACATTCTTCCTGGCCTCCATGTTTCTGGATTTGTATTTTTCAGTTTCATTCCTTCAGCGATGATGTAGAAACAGCAATTAGAAATAAAGCAATGCTTAAGAGAGAACAGTAAAATAAAAAGGAAGTGCAGAAAATTTAAGGAGATGAAAGGAAAATATAGAGTCATCAAGACTGAGAATAATAATGTGGTATGCTAACAACAACATCATCCTAGCAGTAATGTGTGCTTGTTACCAAGTGAAATAGATGTATTGTACACTTCTGTATTGTCATTTCACCTTTGGTAGGCAAGATTCTATACTCTGAGGATAAAGTATTTTTTCTGGTCCATTAATGGCTAAGGCTTCTAATGGCTAAAGGCTTTCTAATGGCTAAAGCTTTATTTTGCTATGCTTTTGCTTACGCTATTTTCCTACTTGCAAGTGTGAACCTTGTAAGCTAATGACTTTCTATGTCTTTGTACTTGTATATAGCAAAATCCACTGAGATTTGGCCATCTTGATTTTAGCTTTAGTCCCAGGTTCTACAGAGAGACAAAAGCGTAAGTAACTTTCACGTAAAAGATGGCAGCATTTTTCACCACGAAGGAATCAAAATGCATAGGGAGATAATGGCATACTTCCAGTGTCTTTCCACACAAGTTGTCAGAGCCGGGCACTCTCATACTACTGGTTTTTGGCACACTGAGAACCCAAATGAAGACAACAGTAAACAGATTACAAGGACAATCTGCTGCGTTATTTCAAAACATACAGCAGAGGCAGCTCTGGTGTGAGCGCTCTCAGACACTTCAGGCAGCGATGCGAGTACCACATCACCAAATGCCCCCTGTTCCCTACTTTACTAAGCAGCGTAGGCTTTCTGCTACATATATTTGCCTATGTTCCTTTTCATTGTTATGGGCAACCTTTGAAACACTAACCAACGAGATGTTTTTCTCTTGTCTTGGATCTTAGCACTTGGATCTTGGATCTTGGCACTTACAGCTGTTTCAGCCAACTTTAAAATAGAATTTTTTTCCTACTGTCTACTGTTCAGAATTACATGCTTTACCTTTTAAATCTCTAATTATGTATTGAATTCTGTCTGTTGTTCTAATCCTCCAAAAGTGAATTCAAACAGGACTTCTTTGAGCAACCACTGATCCTGTCAAGCCCTCATGGCAAAAATCTTCTAAAGATACATTTTGAATATTAAAGTAAAAAGTAACAAGAAGTACATAAAGTGAAAATATTTTAAAATTGATCTTCATGGTCATATTATAGATGAAAAATAAATTTCAAATTCTATTAAATTTTGTAGCAAGAAAGATTTTTGTGTAAAAGAGTAAGAATAAGAAAATAGAATAGGAATATCTTTCAAAAACTTCCTCAGCCAAGATATTTCATTACTGTCAAGAAAGCAGTTTTGCTTTGAAACATTTTTCCATAAGAACATATTGTTTTGTATGATCAATAGAACCCTGGGTCAGCTCTTATTTTACTGAGGCACGTTGGCTGACAGTTGTCTCACTCCCTTCTTGGATTTTTTAATATTGGCTCAACATTAGAAGTCCTTCAGTCTTTGGAAGCTTTCCCCATCAGCACAAGACTTAGGGCGTGCTGGTACTCATTTAGAAATATCATCAGTAGATGCTTTAGGACTCTTGGGTGCAAGTTATCCAAAGCTGCTGGCTTAAATTTAAGAGTTTAGCACTCTTAAATGTTGTTTAACATTCTTCTTTTGTTGGTGGGGAAAATACTACCTCATTCTCCTATGATATAGATACATCATTCTAAGTCTTTCCAAGTAGAGAGCAATTACTTCCTCTGTCTTTTAATGGTTTTATTGTCTAATCATGGGCAAATGTTTGTGAAGATTTTCCCTGCCTATCACTATGCATAAATTTTGTACTGTTCCTTGCTCTGCTGACCCAGATAATTTTTTCTTTGAGCTTTTTCATAATTTGGGGTTTCTTGTTTCTGTTCCTTCTCTTCTGTTTTTATATTACTGGTTATTTTTCTTTTCTGATCCAGGATTTCTGAAAATCAAAGTTGTCCTTTACCCTCTGTTGTGGCACTTTGGCTTTAAACTGCACAAAATTCTATGATTATGCTCACGGTTGATGACATATAGATGTTTGGTTTAATTCCACATGTTCTTGTTTGGGGAAATGTATTTTCTGGGACTTCAGCAAGCCCTTAATGCATTTTGTCAGTTCATGGTCACTGATGATTAGTTTATGGCCATTATTTTCTACTGTGAGAAGAAATTCGTCCTCATTTATCAGAGAGATCCTAAAAATCACTTCCTGAATGGCTGTAAACTCATAAACTTAAGAAATCTATAGCACGCAGAGAGCTAATCTCTGAAGCTCTCTGCAATTTTTGTGCCTGCTGTTGTTTTAGTTTTTTTTTTTCTTTTTTTTCTGCAAGTTATAAGTATATGAAGTAATTTATCATTTTCTCCTATTGTGCTATTCCAGTGGATTCCTACCAGGATCCCTTCTCTTTTTCTTCTTCTCCAGGCTCTTAGTAGTATATTGATAAGTCTTCATTCAACATTCTGGGCTTCCAGTTTAGTCTAATACAGAGTTTTGTGTCTGGACATATCTTTTAATTCCTCTGTCTTACCTGAATGGATCATGAGAAATAAGATAAAACTGGTCTATACCAGTATTTTGGGGGAAATCTTGGTTCTTTTGAGTCCTTTTACCCACAATTTGATCACTTACTCCATTATAATTGTCCCTTTGCAGCAGTTTCCAGCAAGCTTTTGGCTCCCTGAAGTAATTTCTGGCCAAGATGATTAATTCCACATTTATTTGTATTTTTCCAGTGTAGATGACCAACTCTTCAAAAAGAGAATTAGTGCTTCTCGAAACCATACAGCTGTCAGCTCATTTTCAACTGAGCTAATCCTGCTCCTGAAGGAACTGCTGCCTTCACTTGCTTGTAGAGACGCTTCAGAAAATACCTGTTTTCCCCCTTCATTTCAACTTTTTTGAAAGAAAAGGTTTCTGTATATTTTCATATTATACTCTTACTGTCCGTTACTGCCTCTTACAAATGGCGAGCATTTCCCAGGCTGCTTTGTTACACCTTTGGTCACCTCTGCTGGGCTGCTTTGGGACGTGAGGTGAGGAATGCGCTCAAACTGATCCAAATCTTAGATTTACTTCTTTAATGTAAATCATCCATAAGCCCTTGTATGAGTTAGCTTTCCATCTGTGCCCTTCAGCTTTCCACTGTGCAAGTGTATGTGTGTGTGAAGGACACTGATGTGCTGGAGCATGTCCAGAGAAGGGTAACGAAGCTGTTGAAGGGTCTAGAAAACAAGTCCTGAGCAGTGGCTGAGGGAACCGGGGTTGTTTAGCCTGGAGAAAAGGAGGCTCAGGGGAGACCTTACCACTGTCTACAACTACCTGAAAGGAGGTTGTAGTGAGGTGGGGGTCGGTCTTTTCTCCCAAGTAACAGGCGATAGGACGAGAGGAAACAGCCTCATGTGCCAGGGAAGGTTTAGATTGGATATTGGGAAAAATTTCTTCACTGAAAGTATTATTGAGCATTGGAACAGGCTTGCCCAGGGAAGTGGTTGAGTCACCACCCCTGGAGGGATTTGAAAGCTGTGTATATATGACATTTAGGCACATGGTTTGGTGGTGGACTTGGCAGAGTTAGGTTAATGGTTGCACTTGATGATCTTAAAGATCTTTTAAAACCTAGAAGGTTCTGTGATTCTATATATACACACACATTTTATATAGAGAAATGTATATATGTCATATATACATGTTTATATACACACACATGCATGCGCACATGTACATACCTATCTCCAGGACTTGATTACAAGAATTTTTTTGTACCTCTACTCCTGATGGCCCTCCTCACTGAAGTGATGCCAGCTTCTGTCATTGCTCTTACCAGTCTGAGGTGGGAACTAAACAGCGTAGTGGCAGTCCCTGGAAAGGGGCAGTCCCTGAACAGCACATTTGCAAGACTGCAGCTTGACTTGTGGAGTCCCTCGGCCACTTGTTTTATCATGCTCACACATTAGGTGTCTTTAGCCTGTATGTCATTTGAAGAAAAGTAACATTTATTACACTTTTGTGTGATGCCTGCAATTAAGAATACCAGCACAGAATTGGCTTTGAGTCATACTGCACAGTGACAATTATGCAGTCACAATTTGTAAATTAATGGAGAACATACGTATGTGTGTAAGCTGAGCTCTCCCAAGTTGTATCGGTTTTGTGCATTGTTCTTCAACCTTGTTTTATTCTTTTTTTTAGGGATTTGTGCCTGGTCTGTTTGGAACTTCACATGGAGCACTTCAGTTCATGGCATATGAGGATTTGAAACTGAGATACAACAAGTATAGAAACAGAGTATCGGATACAAAATTGGTACAATTCTTGAGAACAAAAATGTGTTGTCCATGTGAATAAGTGGAAATTTATTCCATTTGCCTAGGTTGTAGAACAACCAAATGTACAAAGTGTTGATACATTCATTTGAACGTAGAATATATAGAAGGAAATAATACTTCTTCACTTTTTAGGAACAAGCAACTAGTTAGTGCTGTTTTCCTGTAGCAAAACCAACTTCTTATTTTGGCAAGTGTTTTGAGAATTTTAGAGGGAGGAATGGGTTTTTTTGTATTACTTTGTGGAGTCATAGTTGGTGGTCTTAAACACTTATGTGGAAAACTGATCAGGTTCAAGTTGGGCAAAGGTAGTTACTTTTGGAAGAAGTGTTTCACTTAATAGGCATGAGAGAGCACAACACATTTTACAATGAATTACTTGTAGCACTGTATATAGTAAATGTTGCCATTTTTTAAAAGGTGTGTGTTATAAGGGGGAAAAATCTAGAGTATTGTTTAGTTTAACATTGAAAATTCAAATAAGATTTTGGGGAATTGGCTAGTTTAAACCATACTTAAGGCAAGCCTGGTAATTTTTGTTGCTTTTAGAACACTGTGGAATACATAATGATGGCAGCTGTATCCAAAATATTCGCTGTGTCAGCAACGTATCCCTATCAAGTTGTGCGAGCTCGTCTTCAAGATCAGCATAATACATATTCTGGTGTGTTTGATGTGATCTGCAGGACATGGAGGTAGGCATGCAGAATTACGTCTTGGAAAGTGAGTCTTACGGAATCAGAACTATGCTTAGTGGCTTCCATGCCGACTTGCAGAGCCAGGGCAGCTCAGAGCAAACAAAATGTTAGCTGCGCAGAGTCATTTTTGTGCAAGATGCCACTAATAGAAAATATAAGGACAAAGGAGGAGATAGGAGAGGGTCAATGCTAGCCTGCTTGCTTCTGCGTTTTATTCTGTCTCCCTTCTCTCTTCCCCAGCAAATTTCACTTACAGGGTAAAATACAACATTGAGTTGAGTTTTGGGGCTCTTAAACAGTGAAGTCTTACTTGAACTGCTTTAGATTATCACACGTGACAGGAGCGTTGTGCTGCTGGGAGTTGTGGCTAATCCAAATTCCTGGCAAGAGAAAGTGAGCTAGCCAGAACTGTTGATACTGATGTCTGTGGGTTACGCAGCGGCCTGACAGCGTTTGTGGTTTAGTCCCAGCTTCCCGTAGGACCTTTAGAGCTCACACCTATGCATGTCTTCTCACAAACCCTCTTCCCTCAGCTCCACAGGCGCATGAGAGTTTTCACACAGAACTGTGTAGTTACTAAGGTTGGCCACCTTTGCAGTATGCAAACAATATTAATCTTGCTTTGGACAATGTTTCTGGATTGCAGCATATTGCTGGAGAGATGTGAGTGGAGTCAGCTGACTCCCAGGGTACTAAGAGGTGCCACCTGGATGAGTGAATGAGGCTGTGCTGTTCCAGGACCGCCCCTGGCTCAGGGGCAGTACAAGTGTTTTGACTGAAGACAATTCAAAGCAAAAATAGCTCTGATGTCTCAGCCCTGTGCCCTTCAGCACTACAGTCTATAGGAAGGTTTATTAGTTTTGATAAAGTGTCAATGTGTACAGGCATTCTGGGACCGCTGCTGTACTCATTATGAAACAAATGCCGTGTGAATGTGTACAGGCATTCTGGACTCTGAGGCTGCTGTACTCATTATGAAACAAATGCAACAAAAGAGCCCTAGGGAGGGTACTGTAAAGCCCACCTAAGCACTTTCCAGGATCTGTGTTAACTGTACTAATCGTTCCAGGTATCCTAGGCCTCTAAGAAGCTCAAAAATAGAGAGCTTACATTAAAAGTCTTTGAAACTTTTTAACAGCCCTAACATGAATACTCTGATTCAAATTGGCAGTTAGATTGTTGTTTATTGGCCAGTGGAAGCAAAATTCGGGGGGGAGGTGCTTTAATTCTGTGAAAATAAATGCTGACTTTCCTTAGTTATGTTGACCCTCAGCTCACTTGCTCTTAAATGACGCAAAACCACCGAGCCTTTCAGCCCTGCTGGCTTCTGTGAAATTAAATATGTAAATGCTTTTTGGAACGGGCTGCAGAAATTTTAAGTTATTTTAACAGTTCTTTTGTGGCATGAAGAAAGATAGCAAATTGCCTCCTACTTAAGACAATAAAAAAAACCCAAACCCACAAAAAAACCACCAAATCCTAGGCTAAATAACTGATCTACAGAATACTATTGGACATTCAGAAGAGGAAATGATGGGTTAAGGTCTCATATGTTGTGGCTCTTGAAACACTATAGTAAGAAGTTATTCTGAAATTGTTATTCCTAACCTAAAGTACCTCTCTCAGTGACAGCATAAGAAGAAAAATGCCAGGCTTTGTTTTATCTCTGATTTCTATTAAAAGACATTAATTAAAATGAAATGTTTTTCTGTGTCTTTAAAGGAAAGAAGGAATTCATGGATTTTACAAAGGAATTATCCCCAATGTGATCAGAGTGACTCCTGCCTGCTGTATTACCTTTGTCGTTTATGAAAACGTGTCTGGTTTTTTACTTGGTTTTAGAAAAGAAAAGAATTAAACGTACGAACTTGTGTTCATAAGGAATCTATCCTTTATTTTTTATATTTATGATCTGGGAGAGATTTAGTTCAGGAGGTTTTTATGACACTGTGAATTGATCTAGTATTTTGAGGAAAGAACCTGGAGATAGTAAAACCCTGCCAACATCTCTTCTGCTGAATGTTCCTGCAGTGCTGCCTTCCTCTCTGAATCAGCTGTGGCTGCTTGAAACGGATGTCTCTGCAACTGTGAAATAATAGCACTGTGACTGGGTGAAGGCAGCTGTGCAGCAATTCAGTTCATCCTGGCCTGCCTAGAATAACAACGGACTAATCTGTTTTGACAAGTCTCAAGATAACAGTTGGTCAGATTCTACTCCTACAGAAGTGGAAAACGTTATATAAAAGCAACTCTGGGCTCTGTCAAAACTTTCTTAAATCTTTATCCGAGTCTCATGAAGAAAGTATGTATGTAGTTGTTTACAGCAGTGTCTTCTGAATCCACCTCTGTGTTATTTGTCAGATTTTAGGATATGGAGTGCTCCAAATTCCATTGCTCTTCCAACACAAAAATGCTGCCTCAGTGGGGTGCAGTTTGGAAACTCAAATGTTTTGTAAAACAGCTGTCCGTTCTTGGGTTTGAATAATTGCCAATCTGATGAAACCCAGTTCTTGTCTCATACCAGGACAGACTTGCACTGTGGTTTTTGGCTTGCTTTTAGCACCAGACCAAAGTATATGTTCTGTGCATCGCTGGCCGCTTACTTAATTCATTTTCTCTCTCTTCCCTGTCTGCCCTCTCTCTCTCTGAGCAAGATGCCGTCTCCATACATCTCACCAAATATTACTAAGTAAATGAATATGTGAAAGTAGACTTATATTTTTAAAATGAGAGTTTTTTCTAGTGGTGATGCAGTTTTCAAACTACTGTAACAACAAATATGACCATGCTTATTTTCAATAATATTCTCTGAAAAAAAAATAATTCTGTAAGTAGTCTAAAAAATACTGTGCACAGGACTTTATTTAAAAAAAAAAACCAAAAAACAACAAAAAACATTTGATTAATGTCTTCTGATTTGTTCTAAGGACTGTAAGAATATATTGATTGCTGACAGTGATAAACTAAATTACAGTACATCTCTAAATTTGTAAGATAATTGTGTTTATTTGCATGCCAATAATTGCTGTCAAGGGTATGTACTTTCTGGAGATCTGGTTTGTTTTACTTTTTTAGTTCTTTGCGAAAATGCATTACTCGCCAGAACATCTGCCTTCTGCTGTTAGTAAGAAGGTATTAAGAAGTATCCAGAAAGTATCACTTAACTAAGGAGGAAATAAGGTAGCAAACGTTATTCAATAGGTAGGGGAAAATAATCGGTTTCATAAGGAGTGGAGAATACTATCCAGCAAAACACCTGAATAATCACTTAGAGAAGTTTCCTGTTTAACAGAAGACTAACCTGAAGCAGAAATAAGGCTTCTTTTATTAAAAATTAACAGATTAGGGAATTGGTTTCAATTTTAAGTTAAAATCTGGAAGGCTACAAGAACTGCTCAATATTTTAAATCATAATTCAGCAATCCACTTGCTTGTTTCTGTTGAAACTATTGCTGCATACCACGTTTTGTGTGTGCTTAACTTTATTGGTAATTTACACTTTCCCCTCCACGATCCCATCCTCTTTACTGATACAGCTGATAATCTCCTCTGAAAAGGGGCATGTGGCAATTCTGACTGGTTTGGTTTTTATTATGAAAGTTTCCATGTGTGTTAGCTGAAGATTGAATTTACTGGAAGTTTACTGTGCAAATTACTCTGTAGATCCCTAATGGCTACTAACTGCTGCCTTTGGAGGGTGTTTACTTGTTTTTGCATGTTTTCTAGTATGCAGAATGAATTTAATGAAACACTGAGTTAACTCTGCCACCCAGGGTCCAAAAAAATATTGTGAAGACATATGAATAAATCATAAGAAAAGAATAAAAGTTGTGCACTTCCTACCCTGGATTAGTGTGCTCTAGGCACAGAACAGCTTAGTCGTGCTCCCGGATAAATGCAAAGACAGGCTACATACAGGCATGTACACAATCAGTCACTGTATGTTAACTGACATTCTGTAAATTCACACCATAGCTGAGCTCATAGTAACTTGGTTGTGCTCAGATACCTTAAAACCCATCGTCCAAGCCAATGAAAACAGTACAGTTCTTTGGAGACAAAATACCAGCTGTATAATTTGCTGGCTTGCAGCGGTATCGCACTTAAGCTTGAAGTCGGGCAAGCCTGTACGCTCTCCTGCCTGCAGGTGTGTTCCTTTAGCACTCTTGACAAAAGCTGCGGACAACAAGAGCTACCAATTTGAGATGCCTGGGGAAAAGCTTATAACCTGTTCAGAAAAAAAAGCTGAGATCTAATCCTAAATAGCTGAAATAAATTCCTTATCTCAGATTTAATGTTTTTTCCTTTTAATTTCTGGGAAGAGTATAGATTTCTGCATGTTGTACATGCTTTTTCTTAGGTTTTTTATTTTGTTAATGTAAAATTGATTTTGTCATATAAACATGACTATTGTTTCCCTTTAGAATCTACAATTTTTTTAAAAAAAAATATTTGAGGATATCACTTGCTGTGTGTGGAAGAAAATAGTTATTTGGAAGATACTTAAAACACTGAAGCTGATGCTGTGCTGGCATGATCAGTGTCATCGCTTGTCCAGTCTGGTGGCTGCAGTCAAATAGCCATGACATCGTTCTTTCACTTTACCAGTACACTTTTTGAAAGCCAAGGCATTTGAACCTGCCTTATTTGTATATCTTCCAAGCTATTTAATATATCTAGCTTTTAATTAACACCAAAGTGATTGTATATATGTGAAAGGCTAAATCCAGGAGAATTATTTTATTGGAGCAATGAAATTAAGTTTTGTAACTGTGAAATTACTTAGTATCTGCATGCTAGTAGTGGAGATCAATAATAGATGTTTATCCTGAAATCCAGTCTATCCAGAAGCAAAAGAGGAAAGGAGAGCTAAGATAGTCTATTTTTACATAGTTATTTGGAATGAGGTCTTTAATGCTCACCACATGATGTAGGTCACAGTTAAGTCACCAGGAGTTTGTTGGGAGACTTAAGACAGCAGAGCATCCTGTTGTGTAGTCAGGTTCACAGGAGTAGATGTTACAGATGTTTTCTGAAGGCTAAAGCCAAGATCTGAGTTTACTTTCTTGTAACTTTCTATGAAGTCTTCTAAAAAAATTAATTGTGTAACATAACACCATGTAAAATACCTTAAACGGTTTGATGATCAATAAAATAGCTGGTACTGTTTTTTTGTAAAAGGTCTTATTTATTTGATACAAAAAGTTACAGTTAATTCTTAAAATGGTGGTGGTATATTTTCATACATTAAACAAGGAATTAAAAAAGTTAATGAACTTGGGTTTGATATTTATATTCTAAAACGATTATTATAAAAAGCCTCTGCAATGTGCAAAAAAAGGCCAGACAAACACTACAGATGCAAGAGTTTGGTGCCTTTCAGTCAAATACTTGCATCCAACTCTATAGACATACATTCTGAAGAAAATTGTACAAAATTAAAAAAAAATAGGGAGAGATTATAAAAAGGGAGGGAAAGTTATTTTGGCAGTTCTTCAATGATGATTCGGGAGACTGAATTCCATCCAGTAGAAGCATCTCCCCTTGGGTAATCTGAGCAAGTCCCAACCCAGATGGCAATGTCCACCAAGCCGGCATTGATCCCTTCGCACAGACCTTCCACTGGTTAAAGACAAAAATCAGGTTACCTCGGCAAACACAGTCGCTTTGTATTTCACAACTGAAGGTGGACACAACTACTTAAGAACAACAGTTCATTGCAAGCTCACGCTATTTAGTGAAACCTGAATAGCATTTTTAGAAAATGGCTGGAGAGCAGCCCTGAGGAGAAGGACCTGGGGGTGCTGATTGACCAGAAGCTCAGCATGAGTCAGCAATGTGCAATCGCAGCCCAGAAGGCCAACCGCATCCTGGGCTGCATCAAAAGAACTGTGGCCAGCAGGTCAAGGGAGGTGATCCTGCCCCTCTACTCCACTCTCGTGAGACCCCACCTGGAGTACTGCATCCAGCTCTGGAGCCCCCAACATAGGAAAGACACGGACCTGTTGGAGCGAGTCCAGAGGAGGGCCATGAGGATGATCCGAGGGCTGGAGCACCTCTCCTATGAGGAGAAGCTGAGAGAGTTGGTGCTGTTCAGCCTGGAGAAGAGAAGGCTCCGGGGAGACCTTATTGCTGCCTTCCAGTACCTAAAGGGGGCCTACAGGAGAGCTGGGGAAGGACTCTTTACTAGGACATATAGTGATAGGACGAGGGGGAATGGCTTTAACTGGAAGAGGGTAGATTTAGATTAAACATTAGGAAGAAATGTTTCACTTTGAGGGTGGTGAGGCATTGGCACAGGTTGCCCAGAGAAGTTGTTGAGGCCCCATCCCTGGAGGTGTTCAAGGCCAGGCTGGATGGGGCTTTGAGCAACCTGGTCTAGTGGAAGGTGTCCTCGCCCGTGGCAGGGGTGTTCAAACTAGATGATCTTCAAGGTCCCTTCCAACCTAAACCATTCTATAATTCTATGAAATAAAAGCTATTACTTAAGAGATGTGGCAGCACAGGTTACAGACTTGCGCACTGCCTTTACCCATGTTGCTTCCTGACGCCTGTTGCAGTCCCTGAAGCAAATCATAATCCACAGGATGACTAAATGGGAAGGACACCTGCTTCTTTAAATGTCTGAATTTACAAACTGGTAGCTGGGATATGGCTTCAATCCCATCCAGCCATCTTTTTAGCAGTGATGGGGAGGGAGGAAGGGGACACCTTGGCCTCCACCGTTAAGCCCTGCAAAGGCGATTGCCACCCTGTAATCTTTTCCACTCCTAATTCACTGCTTCTGTAGAAAGTTCCACTTAAATTGCCCTTTTTGTTTCCCAACTTGCACTGCTAGTTAGAGGTGGGTTAATGAAGACAGGTGGGACCTACCCTTTGATGAAAGAAAACCTATCATAGCTCTAGACAGTGGATTTCATGCAGTCATGAAATAGGACAGGGAGAAAAATGGCCTTTTGCAAAGAGCTGAGCTGTTGGCATCACATCTCTGTTCACAGCTGAGAACAAAATACAGCTTAAACCACTGATGTAATGTGGAGAGTATTCGTGTCCAGAAGCCTGTTAAATTAATGCATCCTCTTTGGTTTTAGAAATACTTCTCTGAGTGTAAGTATCAACCATCAGAAAGGAGACAGAGCACAGACTTGCCGTTAGTCCCCTTTTCCTAATATCAGCTCCTTTGATGTTGA